ATTTTCCTCCTTTAAAATTGGGTGCGTCTTATATGACGGAGCGTCTTAAATGCCGAAAAATACGGGTATTTGGAAAAGTCCCACTAAAAATAAATCTCAACAGGGATTATTCCTAGGACATTGGGCATAGAATCATAACCCAAAACATTTTGAGGTACAGTAACAACTATTTCAGGAATATTTGTGGACAGGTGGACTCTGAGATCCACAGATCAGTGCTAACCAGCAAAATTTTACCAACATGTCAAAAAGCTTATATCACAATCAGGCATAAACTGGCTCATTTTCTCAGCTGGACAAATACAGAAAATTTAGCACTGTTAGACTACAATCAAACACATCTACATAAACATATATGTGCATGCATACCTGAGACCGCCAAATAGTTGATATCATGACCTGCCAACTTGGCATATCTTCCTGCGTGGCCAAATCCAGTTAACCTAGCATAGATGAGTTTGGGGTTGTCCTGAAGGAGGATATCTGGAGAAAGACCCAGTTTTTCCATGACACCTGAACAGGAAGATAAAACAGAGAACTTAGATCCAAAAGTGTGAATGTAGAAATCGTACTAAATACATTAGTTTGTAACTGCACACAAGTGGAGTATAATACCTGGTTTTGAGTGGCTTGGTCAGTTGTTTAACACTGATGCCCTATAATGGCATATTCCAGATAGCTAATTGTTTTGCTGCTGTTCTTATTTTTAACTTTCAGGAAAGGGACCCAGGGCAGCACTGATGTAGGAAGAACAGGGTGTACAAGCCCTTTGTGCATTCTGTTTCTATGCTTCTCTGAATGTCCAAATTGGAGCATCCACATCCCTGTTCCCTCTTTGGGGAGACTCACAAGCTCTTGATTTTACAACAAGTGCATTCCCATAGGGGAAGAGATGCAAAACTTTGACTTCAAACATAACAAAGGAAGGCAGACACCAGAAGTGAAGCCATTTCTACTTCCTCCTACGTGATCTCTGTGTGGTTTTTGAGATTTCATACAAATGGCAGCAGATTGAATGCTAGTCAAGCTTCTCTTTCCTACCTAGTCTATAACTTGCAAAGTGAGATTCAGCTCACTTGCCCATTTGATGAAAAAGCCCATCCACTTGCATTTAAAAAAGTGCAAGACAGCAGGCTACGTATGCCAGCAATGTAACAGTCTGTGCAAATATATCTAAACTTAAAAATTTCAACGACAAGCAGAAAATTGTAGGAGTTACATGTGTGAGCGGGGAAAAAAACATGATGCAATTTTTCTAATTGCAAAAGTATCTGTCCCAGGTGTCTTCCTATCAGATATTAAACTGACACACAAATAAACCACCTCCTCACTGAAGCAGCTGGATGAATTCAATGCCCAAAAGAAAGCACTGCTGTGTGTATCTGTTTGTGTGTGCCTTCATGAAACTTGTTGACTTGAGTTTTCTTAGGCAAGGAATGCTCAGAAGTAGTTTGCCAGTTCCCTCCTCTGAAATAAAGCCTACAGCAGCTAGTATTCTTTGATGGTCTCCTGTCCAAGTATTAACCAGGACTTACTCCTCTAGCTTCCAAGATCAAGCAGGATCTGGTCCAAGCAAAAACCTTTTTAAAAAATCAGCCAAACATTTCACATTATGTTAGTGACTTCAGCTGACTTATCTACCATTTGTATTGTTTTATGGTGTTGTGATCTATCACTGGGTTTTAATCTACTGCAAGCAGCACTAGAATAAAAGGAATGATGCTCTGTTCAGGAGGGGAACTTGAGGAATGCTGGAAAGCGCAGTCCAATGTTATCAGGAGGGTCATTTGACTGCCATCCATGCAATAAATGTTATAAATAAATGTTATAAACACTAAGACTATCCCTTTCCTAAGGGCAGCATTGAATTAGAGGAACAAGTATGGATGAGGAATGTTTAGAGCAGGGGTAGGCAACCTAAGGCCCAGGGGCCGGATGCGGCCCCCCGAGGCCTTTGGACCGGCCCCAGGCCAGCCCTGCTGCCGCCACTGCCCCCCCGCCGCCACCCGCCATGATGATATTGATTATTGTTGTTATTACTTGTTCTTGGGGTTTTCTTGGCAAAATCTCCACAGGGGTTTTGCCAAGGCTTTTCTGGGGCTGAGAGAGTGTGCATGCATATTTTTTAATATTTTTTAAAAATATATATTTTTATTATTTATTTATTTATTTATTTATTTATTTTTGGTGCTTCGACCCCCCCAATTGTCTGAGGGACGCAACCCAGCCCCCGGCTCAAAAAGGTTGCCTACCTTTGGTTTAGAGGTTGGCCGGGTTTTGTTTTGTGTTGTTGATTCATAAGTGT